TGATCTCTGTACCAACAATCTGCTTTGATACGTCCATATCTTTTGCAATGATAACACTAAATGTCATTTTTCATGTTACCTTGCTCATTGAACTGCCTTTGCCCGTCATTCCTTCCTCTGCCTCTGCCATGGCTGTGACCTCGACCACCGCGAGATCCTCCTCTTCCTCGACCTTTACTTGATGCACTATCATTTTCTCCTTATTTGTTGGCTGTCTCTTTCACATGGAATTCCTTCTCTTCGTTTTTTCTACTGATCGATTGATTCTTACCTCATGAGCTTGAAGAGATCCCATCAGTTCATCAACAGAAAGAACTGATAAATCCTTAGCTTCTTTCATAGCTGTTACCACATGGTCAAATTTTGGCGTCAAGCTTTTCAAAACTTTTGTAACAATCTCTTCGTTCGAAATCTGCTCGCCGTAGGATCGCATTTGACCAACTATTGCCATTGTTCGTGACAAGAAGTCAGCAATCAATTCACTATTTTTCATCATCAAGGTTTCAAAGTTACGTCTTAATGACTGCAATCTTACCACAATGACCTTTGAATCGCCTTGAAATTCCATCTGCAAAATTGACCATGCTTCTTTTGACGTGGTTGCTGCTGCAATCCGTGAGGATATAGTCTCATGGACTGCTTGTTGTAAGATAAACAATGCCTTGGCATCTCTCTTTCTGGTTTCTTTCAGTCTCACCCCTTCTTTTTCATTGGGTTCAAATATTTCAATAAACCCATATTCCACCAGATCCCATAGCTCTTGCGATCTGAGCAACATCTTAATTTTGATACTCCACCACTCATATTTCTCACCATTGAAAATGGGTAGGAGTGGTTGAGAAGAAGAAAACCCAGCTGCTGCCATTCTCATATAACTCTAGTACACTTACTAACCCAAAGACCAATAAAGCTCTGATACCAAATTTGTTGAGGAAAAACAACAGGAAAGAGACAAAACAAAGGAAGAAGAAGAGAAAAATGAAGTTTTGATGCTTAGTTGTTATATAACTTACTGATTAAAAATTGAATTTATAAAGACTACGTAGAGGTGCCTTTCATATAGGCTTACATCAGAACTTATCCAACATATATCTCGAACTATTTATTATCTGCTTCTAGCTTGAATAGTGTAAATAAACTCTATCTTACCACTATACTCGGTCAAACAAATCTAAACAAAGACAAGGTCAAATTTTAAATCATTCTTCAACAGGATAAGGAGTCTGTTTTGATGGCAACAGAGAAATGTTACAGTCATGGTTTAAATGTAATAGTTCTTTGTTAATGAACTTATTTGCATTTGGGTTGTTAAGTCTTTTCTGAAAACTGGTAAACTAAATCCAGTATGAAACTAAACTTCGCGTGCGGAGACCTTTTATGAAATCATGTTCACTCAAAATTGGGGATCATTCAATCTTCTAGGATGGTGGAGTTTATAGTACATTCTGAAATTGCTGACATTACATCTTTTTATAATCTAATTCCTTCTTCTTTCTGCTTGCTTGTTGCAGCAATAATTTTAGTTGCTATAATCTATTATTTTTCACAACCGGTGCATACCACAACATGGATCAGGGCTTTACTGTATCCTGCTTCCTTTCCAAGTTACTTTTAGCTTCGATCTTCTTTTGCATCCTGGTGAAGTAACAACACTCTACATCTTTCCTTAATATGATGGTATGTTAGATATTGCGCACTGGCACCAAGTGTATTAGCTGGCAGGATTGATCCCCTCCTCTTTGAAGCTCTATACGTGAGTACTTACTGTACCAATGAATCTGCCCAAAGCTAATAATATATAGTCTTGTGTCTTCTCTCATATGTTTCTGTTGAAAATTCCATTTTCTTCTTTGCAATCGTTAGTTTCAGTAGCTTTGCACTTGCCTAATATGGAAATCATATGTTGCAGGCATCCCAGCATGCAATATTTTTCTTTGCCAGGGTACCACAGATATGGAAGAACTTTAAGGTATGAGATTCGAATGTTTTAGTTCTGAGTCCAAAGAGTGCAGAGACTATCACTGAACAGTTATATTGGCTTTAAATTAACTCTGTGATATTGCAACTAACACAAAGTGAAAATTGTTTATTACTACTTTCTTTCTGTGAATGCCAACTATCAATTTGCTTCCATATCTTTTGTTTATAGCAATATGTATTTGCATCTTTAAGCATTATGTGATGATTAAGTAGATGGTGCTCTAAGAACCACATAAGAATCCAGTATTTCATAAAGTGATTGTATTTGTGACTGTAATTGAGGTTTACAAAACTATACAACTGAATACATTCAGATAAAGGTAGGTGCTTTAACAACTTTTCACATTCTTAACTACAGATTAGTGCATACATGTATGTTTGTGCATGTTTGTATGTATGCTTAAGGTTGCATCAATATCTCTGTTTACCATGAGGAGAAGTAAACATTTCTATGATTTTTCTCACTGAATAATAAAATCATGAAATATGAATCCCTTCCGCTCATATTTTGTCGTTTTCATGTTTCTCGAGACAAATTTTTCTTTATTGCCTGTTATTGATGAATTCTTCTGAGCAGAACAAGAGTACTGGGGAACTCAGCTTCTTAACATGCTTCATGAATTTTGGTGGTTCCATGGGTGAGTTCACAAAGAATTCAGACTAATTTTAGTTGCTGTTAGGGGTGAGCATGGGGCCATTGGGAGTTTAGTTGTCACTTCGTCAAAGAATAGAGATCTTTACCCCTCTAATTTTCCCTATTTTGCAGTGAGAGTTTTTACCAGCATCCAGGAAAATGCTCCATTAACTGGTATCCTTGTCTATATTTCATATATGTCTATATGTAAACATATCTAGTAGTTGAAAATATTTAGAAAACAAAGAAATTGGTCTGGAAAGTAATAGTTGAAATATGTAAGTATGAGTTTGAAAGAACAAAAAGTTATTTTTATCCATACTTGAATACAGTACAAAAACATCCTGACATATAAAATTTTTTATGCAAGAACATATATGAATTTAGAAAATTAAATTACAAAATATTTTCTTGTAAATAGAGCCAAAAATTCCCGTTGTTTTCATTTTGAAGATACATTTAGATACTTTTAAAACCTTCACTTGATTTTTTCAATAACATGTTTTGGCTTCTTATTTTCTCACTTAGTCTCTTGTATTCTCATTGAATAAAAAGAAACTATTTCCCCATGTTTTATTCGCCCTTCTTGTTAGTTGCAATTTACTACTTTTTCCTTTAAAAACCCAACCTAGCTTTTTTACACCTAGAAAAAAAATGATGATCTATTTGGCTGTTTATAGGTTTTTACATGAAATCCATGTGGATATGATCTTAAGCACCATATCAGCCTAATATTGTATCAGCCTTTTCAACATAGAACTAATGTCCATTTTTATGCTAATATTCTCTCCATTAACCGTTTGTCTATTTATCATATACGCATATCCAAGTTCTGTTTAGCATTTTTCTTAACCTTGTCTAAGTTACAATGGGCTCTGCACTTGGCGTCCTGACAAATGGGACCATCCTGAGTCAGATTATCGCATACCAGAAATCTAGTGTCCAGAAAGAGAAGAAAGTGGAGTGAAGGGTATGACCAGTGTATTGTTTATTCAGATTGTTTTCAAGGTTCACCCAGTTGGCCAAGCCAGTCCATCTTTTAATCTTTTCTTACTGATACTTACTCAAAGCTTCTAGTTATGCTGATTCAAATTTGGAGGATTTTGCAAGTACTTTGGTTTGTTAACATTCACGCATAAAATGAAAGGTGATACACAATATATCTCAAACACTCTTGGATTAGGTAGAATTTAATGAAGAATGGATTAGATTTATTTTTTATGTACTTTTCTTATGGTGTGCTTGTTATGAGTTCTATAATTTTGCCTGTTGACTATAGATGTATCTTTTTTGGGTTGGTCAACCAACAGGTTGGTACTACATATCTTCAACATTATGCCTAAAATAATGATTAATGGTATAGGAAAAGGGAACAAAAAGATGTGCTTGCACTAATCTTATTTATTTATTTTCCTGCTGGGGTTCAATCTTTGGAATGGCTTGTTAAATCAATAGGAGAATGGTGGGTCGAGTGTAACAGTGTTCGTAATTTAGTTCTGCGTTGAGTGTAACTGAAATGTAATAGAAACAACTGGTTTTTCTTTATACTTCCTCATTCCTACCGTGTCGGCTTTAAACAGTTGATTGGATTTGTACATTTTCATTTTGTTTCGGTGTTCATCTAAAAATTTTATGGTTTATGGAAGATACAAATTTATTTAATACCTTTTATCTTATTTTTAATATTATTATACGTTAATTTTAAATTAAAATATTTTTAATGTACATGCAAGACTGGGCTAGATAGAACTGAGCCAGAATAATTTCCTTTTCTTTTTTCCGACGGATTCTTTCTATTATAGTTGTCCTAAATCCGAAATATTTACATGTTTCTCTTCGGTTGAATCCGAGTCGGACCCAATACTACTCCAATGAGAGAGAAATATTTATAAAATAGTGAAAACATAAAATATGGTCAGTTATAGGATAACAACAGTTTGACTTCCGTGGTTTCAAAAAAATAAAAACACTTTTGACTTATTATGAGAGAGATTATTTTCATAGCACTACCGCCACTAATTTTATCTGAGGAGACCAAGGTGAGCAACGTACCAATCCGTGGAGGGAGATGTGTGTGTAGTGCCTAAACTAGAGGCCTAAAATTGCCTGAATACCATCCAAATTGGGTTAAACTTTTTAGACATTACAATTTTGAAGTAAGCACCGCCACAAGATTTCTTAGCCGTCTTTTGAACCAAATTGAGACAAATTTTAGGCTTCTTCACGAGAATATTCTTTGCTTCTTTGAATCTATGCTCTTGAAACCCTCTTAATTAAATTATAAGTTCAGTTCAGAATCCAATTCTTTTGGAATAAGACTCAAAAAAAATTAATATAATAACAGGAAAACTATTATCAAAATATCTGCTCGATAAGAAATAGACCAAAAAAAAAAAAAAAAAATAGATGCTCATAACAAGTCTACTATACATCCATTAAGAGGTCTCCATCAATAACATCAGCACGCAATAAGTTGCTTTGGGTCACCCATTTCGCATTTCTAGAAAGAGTAGACTTTCCGCAGTGGAAGACCTTGCTATGAGGGAAAGACCTTAATTGGACAAAGATATTAAGGAATCCAAGTTCCACTTCCTTCAGTACACAATTCAGATTTTTCTAAAAAAATAAAAATAGGACATCCTACAAATGATACGTTAGATTAATATTCTTCTGCAAGCACATTGTGGATAGCAGCACTTTCGTTAATGGTCTCCACCGACTCTTGCTTTTTCTTTATTCTCTAGAGCTATTATATCTCTTAATCCAAATTAATATTGCGATCGAATTAGATAGCCTCTTGTCGTACCGGTTGGAAAGAAAGAAAGGATAAATAATATATATACTCCTGAAGAATTACCAACTAATGATCTCCAAGCATTATGCTAGTAACGGGATGGTCGAAGAGCACCTAATAATCTCTCCCTCTTCAGCTGTATTTTAAGTTCCAACTGTTTTTGACAAAATAGCATCGGATTCTTGTCAGCCTTAGTCAACAAAGATAAAGGAAGAAATACTATTTTGCACCCTGATACTAAATTGCACTCCAGTTTTAAGAAGACTACTGCATGTTTTGCACTCAAATTCCTAAAGAGATTTAAAACACACACAGCAGACACTTGAAAATTGAAAGAGGCATCCTACTTTTTATGTTTCCCATCAAAATATCTCTCAAGAATAAAAAAAAGAACAGGAGATTACTCGATGGTTGACATGAGGCAGCACCAACACTTCTTTGCACCGCAGAACTCCAACAGCAAGCAAACTAGTCTAGGCCACAAATTCCATATAATCTTTGTAGGGTGCCGAAAATGACATCCTATCAATCACAGAAAACTGAATCCAGGAATACATAGAGGGGAATATCAAAAATAAGAGCTTTCTTAGAAACCAAGTGATAAATGATAATTTCTATTAATATGTAACAGCTTTATTTGCCTAATGGTTTATTGTAGCCAGGAATTAGGTGACTATAAGAACACTGCAATCGCAGCACACAAAAAGGGTCAAAATATTATTCCAAAAGGATAACCATTAAACAGATCATGATAATTTAAATCTTTTCCTAATCTGAAGTTTCAAATCTAGCTCAGCAAGTTACGTATCTGAAGTTAAACAAAAATATATACCGAATCAGCCATTGCCTTGGCCAACAAAATCAATCACATAAATGCAACAACAAATACAGAGAAAAGCAACAGTATAATGCTGCAACTTGCTGTATACATAATTCAGATCATGGAATACAGAAAATCATTAGAACATGCCATGTAAACAACAACTAAAGTATCATACTTAAAGTAAAAAAGCCTAATAAAGTATAACTAAGAGATACAGATTAACATACTGAGCTTTCAGTTAAGCTTGATGGCTCCGACCAACCACCTGATAGGAATTACCACCCCTGTAAATCCACTTGAAATTCTTCTGAGAGCAGCCCCAAGAGTTACCACTGAGTACAGCCCTTCAAGTTGGTCAACTCAAATTTAATTATGAAATTAGTAGATCCATCATCTCTGTTTCCGGAGAAAAAGAAAAAAAAGATTCACCATACCCTTGCAGAAGCAGAAGCAGAATGCATACACGTTAAAAGGCACAAAATTAAAGTGCTACCAAGAGCACCCACAGCTGATAAAAAAGGATCAGATTGTCCCACAACTTATCTGACCCTGCTTCACTTATTATTAGAGTGGGATGCTGAATACAGCCTCTTGCAGACACTAGAAGACTGACCAGTAATATTATAGTCTTGAGAAAAAATTGCTCCACACGGAGAGATAGACAATCAAGTTCAATTTTTTGTTTAGAAACCAGAACTTTTATGACTGTGCATATGAAACCCCAAGAAACAACATCAGACTTGTTCCGCGACTTTTAAACAAACAGTATACTGAAGATGAAAGAAGTGAAAGTGAAAAGGTGCCTAAGTAGGTATGGAAATTGCTTGTCATTTTAGCCAATAAAAATCCAGGCTAACCCTGTGAAAGATCTAATAGCAGCTGAGAATACACCCCGAACTCCAATATCTGACTCATCTTACAAACAAATTTTATTTTCTCAAATGCATTGGATAGCAGTTTTTCTGCAGTTCCTCCCATTTAAATGATGATTAAATAACTTAGTTTTCCTAGATCACATATCAATCAGACTTCCCTTTCTTTGAATAAATAGTAAGACAGCAGGAAGTTTTAAGCTAAAAACAATCATCAGCATAATCTAATCTACACAGATAAGTTATATAACCACTGAACATGAGTAAACTGAATTTATCTCTATAACAAGCCAATTGATACAGGTAAATACTTCAACAATAAGATACAAGATTTCCTGCATCATTGACTAATCATTCCTTCGTTAATTTTTCTACAGAAGACCTTCCTTTTAATACTTAAACAAACTAACCTTCAAAGAATATATATTCAGGACAAAATTCAGATTACACATTTTCAAACATATCTTACACGCTAACAGAGTACTTCACTGGTATGGCATTACAATGCCTTCTACTACAATGTCATCTCACACAGTTCAGGGTTAAAATCATCAGAACTGATAATGCACGAATTTAAACTAGATATTAGTGTTTTTCACTCTGTCAAAAGGCAATATTTGAAAATAAAGAAACAACACTTAAAGAGTGGGAATTATAAAAAAGCAGAGAGATATTATCACTTTAGACAGGGATGATTCAGTTAAAAAAAAAAAGTAAACAACACACAGAACATCAAATTAAATACACAAACGAGAGAATCAGATACTACATCACAAAACAATTTAGCGATTTTGACCAAGAGCGCCCTTCCTCCTTTTGTGGGGCAACATTCTCAGTTCCGTATCTAATTACTTCCGGAACTGCTTTTACCACTTGACCACCTTCTCAAGGTGCAGGCCACTAAACTTCTCCCGCTAAAAAGCCCTAATCTTGCCTTGAAAGAGGCTGATCGACCCGAACTGCTGGAGGCAATACTAGGAGCAGCAATTTGGCTGGGCACAGGAGGGAATTCAATCCCATTCTCTTGCACCCCACCATCACTGGTACTTGCATCTTGATGTTCAGGCTCCACAGTGTCTAAATTCACCGCAAGGGAAACCCTGCTGGATCTTAACCATTCTGCACCTTCGCAAGTAACTCCTCTACATTTTTTTACCTTTACTTTCACCAAATTCGGGCACCCAGTAGCAAGAGCTTCCATTCCGTGATCCGAGACTGGGCAATTCTTGATGCAGAGCTTCTTCAACGCTATACATTTTGCAGCAATGCAAGAAATCTCGGGGTCACCAACTGTATCACTTCCGCACAATGCCAACCGTTCTAGATTTTGGCAATTTGAAGCCAACATTTCCAAGCTTGACTTTGTGGGGTTCACGCCAATAAGAACCAATTCTTGCAAATTTGGGCAGTGTTTTGCGACTGCAACCAATCCTTCGTCGCCTATCCGGTTTGTCTTCCATCCATCAATATGAAGCTTCCTCAACAGCTTGCAGCGCTCCGCCACTGACGCGAGCCCGGCATTGGTGCACTCGAGGGTCTTGACTAGGTGTAGAATCTCCAGATCCAAACAGTTAGAAATGGCAGCAAGACCAAAATCACTTACCGGTACCCTCTCGAGATGGATCTCGACCATACCTGTAACGCGCTCCGCTACGGCTTGGAAAAGCTTATCCCAATCTCCGGAGCACCTAAAAAGCTTCAAGGTCCTGAGATTTTTTGCGCCAATGATAAGCGGGCCAAAACACTGTCCATTGTAGAGCTCCTTTAAGCAAATCGTCTTGAGAGAAGATGCAGCTGCACCTGGACCAATCGGCTCTGCCGCGGCTCCATCGGCAATGCCACGAAGCCGCTTCACCGACAGCTCTTCAAGTGCCGAGCAATTGTCAAGCACGGCGTTCATGCCTTTAGCCCCAAATGCGCACGATCCGCACGAAAGCTTCTTCAAGCCCCTGCAGTTCTTAGCGAAAGCTGCCATTCCTGCGTCGGTCAACTCGCGGCAGGCTCGCAGCTTAAGCCGAGTCAGGTTCCGGCAGCGGAGTGAAATGATAATAAGGGCGTCGTCGCCGATACTAACCGATCTACGATCACATTTCAAGGCCAGCTTGGTGACAGCGTCGAATCTAGAAAAGAGAGAAGGGATCATCGGAAGCAGATCTGGTTGGGCGTTAAGGGAGAGACGGTGACGGCTCTGTCCCTCGATCCTAAGCCACCTTCGACATACCAGAGAGCAGCGCTTCCGGTCACCGGAGCTAAGCGACTGAAAAATGCAAGCCAAGCAGTCGTCCGGTAGATCTCGCATGTAATCAGGTGGTCCGTCGGTTATTTCGCCGGAACTTTCGGATCCCTCTGCGTCCATCGGGGAGATTATAGCCGTTGATTTACTCTTGGATCGATGAGTGTCGCGGCTCGGGATTGCGGCCGTCGAAGCTGACTGGCCCATTCACGGAGCTTGAAAAGGAAAAACGAACGGCTAACCGAACGGCCGACCTCTGGGTAGCCTTATTATGCGTAACAAGCACCGTACAGCAGCTTCCGCCGAAGCTATGCAAAAGAAAATACGTGTTCCATAAACTCCGTTAAGCCTCGGGACTTCTCAGACTCGGACTTGAAATGGGATTTCATTTTGGCTTTTTTCTCGACCTTTGTGGCCTTTTTTAAATAATATATAATAATAAATAATAACCAGTCTTCTTCCACTTGGGAGAAAAATATGTTGAGAGAGCATTGTCACGTGCCTGTCATGAGCCCTACGTGGATCTCCATATCACTTCAACGTCTTTGATTGCGTATTTGCGTCCATGCTCTGCACAAATTTTTTTCCCATCCAATCACAAGATGACACGTTGAAGGTCAGGAATCAAAGTAGACCAGATTGAATATATCACATGAACATGAACCACCCATGAGGATGGCCTCTTCTGATTATTGTTCCCTCTGACACCGTTGGAATTTGGGATGGACTTGTGGTGCTTATAAGTGAGGTCAATCTGAGTTTAATCTAAATCAATTTGGATAATTCGATTCGGACAAATTAAAAATATGTTAAATATTTAAAAATGCTAATCATTTATTAAATGTATATTTAAAGTTATAATATATTTAAAATTTGGTTAGGGGTACTTCTTAAATCTAAAAAAATTATTTGAAACTGTAATTTTCTCATGATTTAAAAAAGTTAATAGTTTAATAATGTGATATCATTTAAAAAAAAAAAAAAAACTAAAATGGAAGGATGGGCCCAATCATTAGCCCATTTGAAAAGAAATCTGGATTTATCCACTAAATCTTTGCCCACACTCAACACCCTGAAACTTAATGGCTAACACGAGCCCTCGCTCCCACTGATATCCATACGAAACAAAAATGGCTGCTCCTCTGCTGTCCAGAGCCATTCCGCTCTTTCGCATCCGTCTCCAACATAGCCAACAACGGCTCGCCGTCTGGCTCATTGAGCCCTTGCGTAAGTCTTGGTGTTCAGCTGCCGCGGAGTCGTCGGCTAAGTCTGAGGAGGATGTATTCCCTGCGGAGAAGACCACGACAGTATTGACAGCAAGGAACCCATTCAAGGATGAAAGGTGGAAAGCTCCTGATTACCGGAAGTGGAGACACGAGGAAGAAGAGATCCTTCGCGATATTGAGCCTATTATTTCTCTCATCAAAGATATTCTTCACTCTGATAGGTCAGTCTCTGCTCATGGACACGCTCAATTCGTGTTTTGACTACCTTCTTCTTTGTTTTTCCAATCGTCTATACCGTGTAGTCTCTTTCTTTGCTTAGTGAAGCTAGAGAAGAGGAGGAACTGTGCATAGAATATTCGAATATTTTTACCCGAATTTGTCAGTTGGTTTCTCCAAGGCTAATCTATGCTAAGGGAAGATTATACGGCTATACCTGAAATGTAATGAATGCTAAATCTCACTATTATTTTGGATGGGAAAAACAAATAAGATTAAGCGAACAAGAAAATTGCCACAATCTTATGATTAATTCTTTCTTGAAGATATTTTTGTAATCTAATCATTTTTTTTTTTTTGCGCATCTAAACTATATAAAAGATTAGAACAATCTTTGCATTTTCTCTACTTTCTCAATTTTTTTGGTTTATTCAACCGAAGAAGCAATTTTCTTCGGTTTACAAACCCGTAATCTTATTTTCTTCTCTTTTAGTTTACTAATTTGTATCCGAAGTTAATATTTCATTTTGAATGTTCAATTACTTTTGCTGAGCTACTTTAGATTCGCCATCGTTTTTATAGATTTAATCAGTATAGGTTCACTTCTCAATCTAAAAGGGGAGTTGTGAATGCATGAAGTTGTGGATAGTTTTAAAAACATTTCTTTTCTTGAGGATTTACATTTCTATATTTTCAAGCGAGTATCAATTTTTTGGTGAAAAGTGATTTTCAATTTAAACTTGATAAATATCTGGTTTATTACCTGGTAAGTTACTCAGTTTTG